TATCTATCTATCTATCTATCTATCTATCTATCTATCTATCCATCCATCCATCCATCCATCCATCCATCCATCCATCCATCCATCCATCCATCCACACTTTTAGGGGGGACTGTGTGTCATAGAGTTTTTTGCAGCAATCACACCCAGAAAGCACACGTGGGTAACTGATTCAGCAGGATTCATTAACTTCTCTTTATGTATAATGTAACTCATGAAGTAAATATACAATACCAAAAGCAGGTTTTCCCAACATGGTAGCAAATACAAGCTAACACAAGCAGAGGAGAGAACAGTTTCCATTTCAGTTCAGATCAGCAGACTAGTTTTTAGAGCTCAGCACAGACTCAGAGCTTTAGAGCTAAGCCATACCTAGGCTCCTTGCTGTCTCCTTGTTGCTCACAAAGCAAATACTGCTTCAGTTTCCAAACAGCCCTCATTGGCTGACCCAGTTGCAATGTCTATCCATTGGTTGACCTTGTTACCATGTCTCTGCCAAGTCATGAACTCTAATTCACACTGACAGGGGTAAAAGTGCGCCTTATACTCCGAAAAATATGGTAGATTGACAAGTTGTCATTTTCCCAGTGGGGGAAAAAATAGGGGTACCTTTGTTGAGCCAAGCAAGATGGATTGTTTTCTTGATGGGGTTGACATCAAGAAAGAAACCAAGATGCTGGGTTTTTTGGCCTCTCGTTAACAAGAGAGAGAAGCAGACCAATGTTTCTTTTCAAGGAATGCAACCCCCTCACTGAGACCACCTCATTTTTTTCCTTCTTTGTTTCAGGACAACCAGAGGTGTGAACTTTTGCAGACCCTTTATAAATTGCCGATTCCTGAGCCAGCTTCTTCGGTTCATCTCAGCGTGGTGAGTATTCCTAAAATGAGGAAAAACCTGGAGGTTTTCATTTGGAGAATGTTGCGTCCCGTCAGCGGAACTGGTGGGAGACTCAGACAGTAAGGAGGTTGGGGAGGAACCTGGGCCAGTCCTGGAGTCTGGGGAAGGTTCTGAGGAGGGCTCTGTGTTGGAGGCAGAGAGGGGGCCATGGCCATCCAACAGTTATCAGCTGCCTTCAGAGTCAGACATCAGTGAGGCAGAAGAACAGCTGGAGCCTGTTCCCGATGTACGCATATGTAGAGCTGCCAGGAGAAGGGAACAGGTAAGGAACAAGGGCCAACTTGGGAGTAAGGCCACAGGTGGACGGTGAATGGCCCCTCCCAGAGGAGATAAAAGAGGAGCAAAAGGGGAGGGTATTAGCAGGAAACTAATCAAGGAGGGTCTCTAGACATTCTCAGCCCTCAGCCCTCCCAGAAGTGCTTTTTTCCAAGAAGCAACTGGACTTTCTTGGTTTTTCTTTGAAGATGTTTTGCTTCTCATCCAAGAAGCTTCTGAAGAAGAGCTGAAGAAGCTTCTTCGATGAGAAGCGAAACATCTTCAAAAAAAGCACAAGAAAGTCCAGTTGCCTCTTGAAAAAAAGCACTTTTGGGATAATCAAGGAGAGAAGCAACCTGGAATTAAGGGGAAACTTCCTAACGATGAAGACAATTAACCAGTGGAACAGCTTGCCACCAGAAGTTGTGGGTGCTCCATCACTGGAGGTTTTGAAGAAGAGACTGGGCAGCCGCTTGTCTGAAATGGTATAGGGTCTCCTTCTTGATCAAGAGGATGGACTAGAAGACCTCCAAGGTCCCTTCCAACAATATTCTATTCTAAATCATAGGGGGAGGATACAACATAATCTATATTAATCCTTCCATTCCCCACTATCATCCAGTCAGAGCTGAAGAAGTCTCTTGGATGAGAAGCAAAACATCTTCAAAGAAAAACCTGGAAGTCCAGTTGGGCTAGAATACCTTCAAGGTCCCTTCCAGTTCTATGCTAATTGGTTGATATTTAGCATCATTGTATTTTGGATGGTTGAGTTGTATTCCATTGTGTTTGTGGCATCACGGGGCATATATTGAAGTTCTCCCCCCATCCCAAAGGGTAGATCCTCAACCCTGGCAATGTGTGGTCATTAACAGAGTGTGCATTCTAGGACGATGTCCTCACCCAATCAAGTTATCGAGTTTTGGAATCACTGTAGTAGAGCATAAATATGTCAAAATAAATGGAAATCTGAGGTGCGTTTTTTCTCTTTCTTTCTCCCTGCCTTTCCCCTTCAGCATTCTTACTTTACGGTGCCCGACACCAGGGAACTTCCCAGCATCCCCGAAAATGTAAGTCTCTGCTGTGTGTGTGTGTGTGTGTGTGTGACTCTTCGTAAATGATGTAACCATATATGGGATTCCAGAATTCATACATTTTCTATATATATAAAAGCTGAGTATTACTCACTCATCATGAAATCTCCAGAACCATAAAGCATACAAACTTGAAATTTGGCTTCTAGCTGCTCACTAAGAAAGGATTTGTTGAAATGGCCATCAGATCATCAGTATTTCTTATATAGTATTATATTAACACGCTCTAATGCTAAGGAGTTAGACATTCTACTCCCCCTCCCCATCTGAAAGGAGCTCTGTTCCAACTGCCAGTTGCCTTATATTAACACTCTGATGCTAAGGAGTTGGACATTCTACTCCCCCTTCCCACCTGAAAGGAGCTCTGTTCCAACTGCCAGTTGCCTTATATTAACACGCTCTGATGCTAAGGAGTTAGACATTCTACTCCCCTTCCCCACCTGAAAGGAGCTCTGTTCCAACTGCCAGTTGCCTTGTATTAACACGCTCTGATGCTAAGGAGTTAGACATTCTACTCCCCTCCTCACCCGAAAGGAGCTCTGTTCCAACTGCCGGTTGCCTTATATTAACACGCTCTGATGCTAAGGAGTTAGACATTCTACTCTCCCACCCCACCTGAAAGGAGCTCTGTTCCAATTGCCAGTTGCCTTGTATTAACACGCTCTGATGCTAAGGAGTTAGACATTCTACATTAATTTTCAAGCTTTAAGTGTCAATTTATCAAGCCCGACCACATAGTTTCATAGCGAAGCACGGGTATCCAGCTAGTTAGGAATAAGTGTGTGTGTGGGGGGGGGGGGGGAAATATCAGGAGAAATCAAGATTTATGGAAGTGCTCGGAGATCAGAATTAGAAGGCTTGTTTGTCAGTTTTAGTTTGGATCTCTTAGCCATTTGGGGCAGCAAATTGTGTAGGGCCTCCTGCTTGAGCAGCGGGGTTGGACTAGAAGACCTCCAAGAACCCTTCCAGTTCCCTTTCGATGGGTTGAATTTAGCATCTGGGTGAGCACGAAGATTGCCTTTTCTTTTTTAGAGTCCTGCCAAGTTATTTCCGCGAGCTGCTGTTGTATCTGTACCACAGTGGCAGGAAGTGGCTACTATTTCTAAGCAGTTTCTGTTTAGAAACAAACATCTCGCTAATCAGCACAGATGGAGTAGGAACCACGGGGAGGGAGGAACTGAATGCCAGTTGAACAGGTTTATTTTGAAACAAAGTCTTAAGTTATTCTCCTAGCCCAGGGAGGGCGAACTTTTCAGCACCGAGTGCCCAAACTGGAATGCTTGTGCATGCACCAGGGCACCGGAGACTCAAAAACCAGCTAGACAGCACATGCCTGCCTGTTTTTTGGCTGTTTTTCGGGCCACTTTCAGGCCAGTTTCTTGGACCATTTTTGGCCCAAAAAACAACCTAAAAAGGCCCCGGAAAATGGCCTCTTTGGGGGCCATTTTCAGGCTGGTTTCTGAACCATTTTTGGCCTGAAAAACAGGCTTAAAATGCCCCCAAAATGGCTTGTTTTTGGCTAATTTGGGGCCTTTTTCAGGCTGGTTTCTGGATTGTTTTGGGCCTGAAAAACAGCCTTAAAATGCCCCCAAAATGGCCTGTTTTTTGGCTGTTTTGGGGGCATTTTCAGGCTGGTTTCCGGACCATTTTTGGCCCCAAAAACAGCCTAAAAACACCCCCAAACAGGCTGTTTTCTGGCACTTCGGTATCCAGGAAGACCAGCTGGCAACGGGGCGCGTGCCCACAGAGAAAGCTCTGTATGCCACCTCTGGCACGTTTGTCACAGGTTTGCCTTCATGGTCCTAGCCCCTTCTACTGGATCCTTTTCCTCTTAGCTGCCCAGCAAAGCTTGAGTGAAACCAAGAAGGAGCCATGGAGGTTGTTAGGCGCTGTCCATGGTCCTCACCCTGGCACCCTCGAGGTCTTAATCCCTCTGTCTGCCTTGTAGGAAAGTGTATGTTTTTATCAGTGGACAAGTCTTGCAGAAACCTCAAAGGAAGGTCATCAAATATTGATCCTTTGGGTTGTGTTAAGATTACACAGATCATTTTCCATTATTTAGGCCAGTCTAAAGAAAAGCTGGAGAAAAGCTAGGGACATGGTGGCTCAATGGCTGCGCTTGTTGAACAGAAAGGTCGGCAGTTCGGCGGTTCAAATCCCTAATTCCACCTAACGGAGTGAGCTCCTGTGACTTGTCCCATCTTCTGCCAACCTAGCAGTTCGAAAGCAGGTAAAAAATGCAAGTAGAAAAATAGGAACCACCTTTGGTGGGAAGGGAACAGCGTTCCGTGCGCCTTCGGTGTTGAGTCATGCCGGCCACATGACCACGGAGACGTCTTCGGATAGCGCTGGCTCTTTGGCTTTGAAACGGAGATGAGCACCGCCCCCTAGAGTCAGGAATGACTAGCACATATGTGCAAGGGGAACCTTTACCTTTACCTTAGAGAAAAGCTGGACCAGGGGTGACATGATAACAATATTCCAGTATTTGATGGACTGGCAAAAAAGAAGAGGGGGTCAACTTATTTTTTAAGAGGAAAAAAAGAATGGATGGAAACTTACCAAGGAGAGAAGCAACCTGGAATTAAGGAGAAACTTCCTAACAGGGAGGACAATTAACCAGTGGTGGTAGTAGCAGCAGTAGTAGTGCTCCATCACTGGAGGTTTTTAAGAAGAGATTAGACACCACTTATCTGAAATATAGTGTATGTAATGAAGTATAGGTTCTCCTGCTTGAGAAGGGGGCTGGACTAGAAGACCTCCAAGTTCCTTTCCAGCTCTATTCTGAAAGATTGATTAAGGTTTCTATCCCATCATAGATGCTAGCTTGAGAGTCAAAATTGTGGACTGCCACTCCACGACAATTTCCTAAACACCCTTCGCTTCTTTTTCTTCCTAGAGAAATCTGACTGAGTATTTCGTAGCTGTCGACGTCAACAATATGTTGCATTTGTATGCGAGCATGCTCTACGAACGCCGCATTCTCATCTGCTGCAGTAAATTGAGCACGGTAAGTTTGGAAAAGAAATTGGTGGTGCTTCAGCTTAACTTAACTCAGCAGTTCGAATTCCTAGCACCACATAACGGAGTGAGCTCCCGTGACTTGTCCCAGCTTCTGCCAACCGAGCAGTTCGAAAGCATGTAAAAAGGCGAGTAGAAAAATAGGAACCACCTTTGGTGGGAAGGGAACAGTGTTCCGAGCGCCTTCGGTGTTTAGTCATGCTGGCCACATGACCATGGAGATGTCTTCGGACAGCGCTGACTCTTTGGCTTTGAAACAGAGATGAGCACCGCCCCCTAGAGTCGGGAACGACTAGCACATATGTGTGCGAGGGGAACCTTTATCTTTCCTTTAAGCTTAACTTTCCTTTCAGTCTGAGTTTCTGGTGGAAACAGTAGCAGTGGAGCCTAATGGGCAAATCTAGCCTTGTTAGAAGTTTTCCAGGATGCTCGTAATATAAGATCTACCCCCCAAAATAAGCCCCAGTTATGTTCAGCAGGCAGACGGATGCATTTAGTACTGTATTTCCCTGAAAACAAGACCGAACCGGAAAATACACTCTATTGCCAAAAGTATTCGCTCCCCTGTCTTTACTTGCCTATGAACTTACGGTAAGTGACCTCCCATTCCTAATCCATAGGGTTCAATATGCAGCTATAACAGCTTCAGCTCTTCTGGGAAGTCTGTCCACAAGGTTCAGGAGTGGGTTTATAGGGACTTTTGACCATTCTTCCAGAAGCGCATTTGTGAGGTCACACACTGATGTTGGACGAGTTTCCGTGGCCTACCACTTCGTGGCTGAGTTGCTGTCGTTCCCAAACCCTTCCACATTCTTCTAATACAGCTG